AGCCACAATGACTGTCTTTCCTATCTGCAGGTAAGTTGCTCTGCCGGTTTAAATAACTTATTTTTGTGTATTGACTGCGTTTTACCCCCACCCACAGTCCCTAGGCGACGGCCTGCCCAAGGAGGTGGCCGACCAGCTCGCGGCCCAAATTTTCGAGGAGGCCAACCAATCGGAGTCACTCAGCATTAATCAGGCTGCGCTTAACGTCAATTTCCGCGTCTATTATCACATCGTCCACAAATATGAGCTGGAGGACGAGCATTTCGCTAATCTGCCCGAGCGTCTCTCGTATGATCAGCCGCAGGCGTTTCTCATGCTGCAGGCGGTTCTGCTGACCAATCATTGGTCGCGACTGGATGCCCAGCTGATTGAGGCCAAGTGCATGGACGCCATCATTGCGGCACTGCAGCATAATAACAGCAGTCTGGTGCATATATTGAAGGCCACTAATTTACTGGTGAAGAAGTTTACGAAGCTACAGCTTCTGAGGCTGCAGCTGGAGCATTTCTATCACTGCCTGCAGCGTCAGAGTCAGGTGGGCTCGCGGGAGGAAACGTTGACGCTGTTCAACCACTGCTGCAAACAGCAAAGGCGCGCCTTTGCCTACTTTCGCCTCATCGTGGAGTTCTGGCCGTGGACAAATCGCAACAAATACTACCTGCTGAGCGGCATACTCAACTCCCATGGGCTGCCACAGCTGCTGGCTGCAAGCGGGCACAACGAGTCGGAGTTCTTTGCTGGCCTGCGCTTGAGTCTGAGCTACAAGGGTCTGCGTGCGGCCAGCCAGTATCCAGTGAAGAGCCTGAGCAGCCAGCGCTCGGCCGCTCTGCTCGATCTAGCTGTGGAGCTGCTGGTCAATGGCAACATAGCGGAGATTAAAAACTTTTACTCGCAGTGGTTTCTGCGCATACAGCAACGAGATGCTCTCTTTCAGCTGCTGCAGGCGAAGCCAGAGATTGTGGAGTTCCTGGCTAGCTCGGAGTCGGCTCGGACGGCCGGCGAGCAGCAGCGTCTCATACTCATATTCAGCATGTTCGCCAAGGAGATCTATGTGGCATCCAAGCTGCATTTCTTCAAGATCAGCACAGAATTATTGACCAATTGCAGCGACTTTGAGACAGAGGCGCAGTTGTTGATCTTTAAGTTCCTGGTGGAGAATCTCGCCAATTTCGCTGTCGAGGATTGCCTGGATTTCTTCTACAGCTTCATGAAGCGTCATCGGGGCGTGGAGAGCTCCGAATTCCGCAACACAATGCTGGGCAAGATGCCGAACATTATCAACCACACGGCCAAGCACTTCAGTAGGGCCTTAAGAGCGGATGGAGGCGCTGGCAGCGACGCACTGGCCAACGACATTAAGCGCTTCTTTCGGCAGCTACAGGAGCTGCTGGAGCAGGACATCCCCTGCGACGTATATCAGCCCAAGATATTCGCCCTGAAAATGCTCGAAATCCTGCACAAATCTCTATACAGCACGCGCGTCACCAAGAACGCCAAGATGTGCAGCACCCAGCAGAACCAGCAGCTGGGCGCCTTCCTGCTGGATCATGGCGTCTTTCAGCCAAAGTCCGTTGCACAGCTGCTGTTCAAGTCCCTTAACGATCCGCAGGGCTTCGACGATGCCCTGGAGCTGACCGTTTCGCTTCTGCTCGAACTGGGCGATGTGGACAGCGTGCAGTGTAACGAGCGTTGCCTGACGCTCTGCCTCAGCTCCGATGTGGATGAGTGCTCCCTGGTCTCGCTCTACGCGCAGCTGATGGTTCGCAGCGGTGCTGATCCCCAGCTGACCCATAACCTCTACGACCAATATCTACAGCAATTGACGCACAAATTCGATGCGTTCCAGCTAGATCCGCTGAAGACCACAAAAACAGACGGCGGGCATCTCTTTGGCCACATTTGTGTTCTGGACGAGCTGGTCAGCGGTGGTCGGATTAGTCTGGAAGCAGATGTAGCAGAGCTCTTGCCACTGCTCGAGAGGATTCTGAACGTCATTCTGAAGTTTCTTAACTTAGCCAATGCGAGGCAGGCGAAGACGGAGGCCTCAGCCGCCAGTTTCCAGGACATGGACGAGAGCTTGCAGCTGCTGGTCAGTGAGAGCGCCTACGTGGCCGAAGAGGATGACGAGGCGTGTCGCAAATATTTGCTCATGAGCTTCTGGCTGACATTGAAGGTGGGTGTCTCTGGAATCGTCCTCTAGAATTCTCCTAAATATATCACCTTCATTGCAGGCAAGCTGTGACTTGGCCACCAGCCTGGCTTGCGCGCTGCTTCGCTCTGCCCCGGCTGGCATGCCCGACTGTGAGGCACTGCAGCGCTGCTTGGACATCAATGTGGCCGTGTTGACACGCTGCCGGCACAAGGGCGCCATCGAGGCAGCTGGCCTGAGCATTGGCCGGCTGACGCGCGCCATCACCAGCACTGTTGCTAGCGGGGATCGGGCATTCGAGCTGCTGCACGATTGTCTCGAGCGAGAGCTGCTCTCCGAGTGCCGTCAGGTGAGCACTACGCGACGCGGTGCCGGCTTCTCCATAATGTTTCTGCATGTGCTCAAAAACGATGATCCGCGGCAGCGCTCACTGCTGCATCGAGCTGTGCAGCGCATACTGGAGCGGCTCAATGGCAGCTCCAGCGACGAAGCAGCCGGCAGCAGCAACCACGACCGCTGGGAGGCATTGGCGCTGCATTATCTATGCGTGCTGGTGCGGGACACGGAACTGCGGCCGGCCATGTGCAAGTACTACAATGAGATCATGCTCGTGGCCATTGGGCACATCGACCACACCGAGTGGACCATTTCGAATGCTGCGCTGCAGCTCTTCGGGGCGTCACTTGGCAAACTGCTGGGCCAGCGGCAGGCGACAGAGTTCGACACGAAGCTGGAATGGGAGCCCAGCGAAATGAACTACGAGGAGCTGGCTTGCCAGCTGCCCAAGGCCTGCGAGCACATGCTGAGCTGCTGCAGTGGCACTAAGGCCACATCCTCCATTATACTGTTCCTGGGCTTTCTGTCCAAGGTGGAGCATCTGTGCACCACTGGCCAGCCGCAGCAGTCCACGCCGTTGCTGCAGCGCTTCCGGCGGCTCAGCTGGCGTTTGCTGCGCCACAGGTGCGAGCAGGTGCGTCAACTGGCGGCCACCTGCTTTGTGCGCGCCCACGAGTTCCGTTGCGATCTTCCGGCCGTGCTCTTGGCTAGTGCCAAGATAGCGTCGCAGCTCAAGGACGACAACTTCTACGAGGCTTTGCTGTTCACCATGCAAGCGGGCGTGCTCAAGCTGCAGCACGAGGCGCGTCATGTCTGGACGGCGGACAGGATGCAGCGGTACGAGCTGCAGCTGCTGACGGCGCTAGCAGTGGACGAGCAAGTGGCTCGCTTCAAGGCGTACACATTGAATGTGCTGCTCCAGTTGCTGACTCTGCTGAAGGCCACGGAGCAGATAGCGATTGTGCGCCAGCTGCTGGACGCGCGCGGCAGGCACGCCCTAAGCTAAGTATATATAGGCAATTCGCGTATCTAATTGTAGCATTTATCTAATCTTTAAGCTTAAGCCAAAAAGTCAATGTTAGCCTCTATATATCGCACGCTTTTACAACTAAATGACGCATTTACTAATTGAAAGCATTTACCAAAAACAGAAACAAGACCGAACAAAATAACAACAAATGGGGATTCAACTGAAGCCCTCCCCAGTTTCCTGATCCATTGCCTGTTGCTGCTTCTCTTGCGTCTCCTGCGCCATCTGCTGCAGCGTCCGGCTGAGAATGTTGCGCAAAATGTGCGGCTTGCAGTGCTCCTCCAGCCAGGGTATGACGCCGCTGGTCAGCTGCTTGAAGTTATCCATCGGTATGTTCTGGAATGTCTCAAACATTTCGTCCAGTATTGCCTGAAACTGTGAAACACGAGTCAGTGAGCGATTGTCACGGGGTTATTTCTAGTGCGACTATTTCGCTCGCATTTTGCTGACCACTTGAAATTTGGCCTCGTCTGTGAGACGCGCCTCTTCGGGGCCCGGATTGGCCTGCTGATGTTGCAACATGGTCTCGTAGCCATTCTGTATGATACGCAGCGCCGTCACCTCCTTCTGCAGAGCGGCGCTCTCCTCCTCCTGTCTGATTTTCTGCTGATTCAGATAGCCAATGTACTCGATGGACTTCTGCAGTATCAGCGCTTTGCTTAGCTTGTAGCCAGACGAGTCGTTTGGCTGGCAGCGCGGCACCAGCTCCTGCAGACTGTCGTAGCCCTTTTTGATCGCATCCCGACGCTTCTGCTCCGCCTGAGTGTGAGCCGAGCGTCTGCGCTCCTTGTAGCTCAGCGAAGAGTTCGAATTCGAGTTTGTGGCTCCCATGTGTCGTGCATCGCCGCTGTCGTCATCGTCATCTGTGTGCGCGGGAAAAGATAGAGGCAAGTGTAATAAAATGCTGGGCGCTGATAATGAATACCAGAAATAACAACGGCAGCGGAAACTCAATGCCACCATCATTATTATCAGCTGATCGTCACGCTCGCAGCGAACACAAACAAAAACAAACAATCAATGAAGACGATGGCGCTGACTGCTTACCAGAGTTGTGCGCCGAAGAGTTGGGTGTATGGGTGCTGCCCGCGCTGCTGCAGCGAGAGTAGTGCTTGCCTCCCAGATCTTGATCTTGCTCCATGCTGCAGGCTTCCTCTTTACTGATCAGACTGTCGCTCATTATCAACTGCGTCGTCCACAAAAACAAGAGCACTCAATTTACTGTGTGGTTCAGCAATGAGAACTAGTTCACATTGTGGAGGGTGTTCGATAATCGATTATTTAGTATATATTTTTGCAAGCGAAAATATACTGGAGCTGAATTTGTATTGCTTGTACAGTAATTTTAAAAACAAGTCATAAATAAAGCATTGATAATAAATCCATTAAAAAATAATTAATTTTTCTCGAAATGATAATTTTCAATTATCATTATTTTGTTAGTCATGCACATATCTAATAGGCGGCTTAAGTATTGTTTGCTTTGCAGCCCTGCTTTAACTACACCGGTGCGATGACTTTTGCGTTTTCGTCTTGAACTTTGCCGTCGTGTCGATTTTGGTTTTTTTTCTTGGCCTGTGCTGCCATTTACTATAAATTACTTTGTTTAGTTAGTTGAAAGGGCTAGTTGCTTTATATATATACCTAATCATGGGACTGTTGCGGTCAATACGTCTGAGAATCATGAATTTCATGATTTTCTTTCTAATTATTATTTTGTTCCCGGGTCTGCCCCCGCGCACAACTTTCCCCTATAAAGATTTCGTGTAAGCTACTGCTCGCCTAATTTATATATTTAATAACACATTCTTCCGCAGTGTTGCCCCACCCAAAGAACTGAAGGGCGCCCTCGAGTCCAACTTTCACTTGGAGGGAGCTGAGCGTTTGCTGGAGGGCCGTATCTATGGCCCGGAGTGCCTGGTCGTGCGCAACAATGAGATCTACACTGGCCTACATGGTGGTGAGATCATCAAGCTGACATCCAACCATGTGACGCATGTAGCCAAATTCGGCGAGCCTTGTGGTAAGTACTCTGACATTGTATTAAGGATATTCGCTAAGATCTATTATCCTCTGGTAGCCGAAATATTTGAGGAGGCCAAGTGTGGTCGCCCGCTGGGCTTGGCATTTGATACCCAAGGCAATAATCTGATCGTCGCCGATGCCTACTATGGACTGTGGCTAGTTGATCTAACCACAAACAAGAAGAAACTGTTGGTGTCGCCGACTCAGGAGCTGCCTGGCAAGAGCATCAATCGCCGAGCCAGGGTCTTCAATTCAGTGACCGTTAGCAAGGAGGGCGAGATCTACTGGACCGATTCTTCTTCAGACTTCACCATTCAAGATATTATGTTTGCCTCATTGGCTAATCCATCTGGACGGTGAGTTCATTTAATAATTTAATCGAACGGCTGCCGCTCAAACCGGTTTCTGTTTGACCTAGTGCTCACCTCACCCTTCGCCTTTCTCTAATGATTTCTCTTTATAGTCTATTCAAATACAATCGGGCCAAGAACGTGAGCGAAGTGCTGCTTGACGAACTGTTCTTTGCCAACGGTGTGGCGTTGAGCCCGAATGAAGACTTCATTGTGGTGTCTGAGACGGGAGCAATGCGTCTGACAAAGTACTACCTGAAGGGCCCCAAGAAAGGTCAGAGTGAAGTCTTTGTTGAGGGTCTGCCTGGCTTGCCCGATAATTTGACTCCCGACGCCGACGGCATTTGGGTGCCCATTGTGTCCAGCGCTGACAGCGAGCATCCTCCCAGCTTCTCGCTCTTCTCGCGCTTCCCCACCATCCGTTTGTTCCTGGCCCGCATGCTTGCGCTCTTCGAGCTGCCATTCCGATACATCAACAGCGTATACCCGAATAAGTTCTCACAGCGTTTTGTGCACTTTGTCGGCCACGGCGAGATGGCCATGCTCTTGGCACCCAAGCGCACCACTGTGGTTCGTGTGGACTGGAATGGCAATATTGTGGGCTCGCTGCACGGATTTGATAAGTCTGTTGTGGGTGTGTCACATGTGCTCGAGTTCCAGGATCATCTGTATCTGGGCTCACCCTTCAATCACTATTTGGCCCGTGTCAAGTCTCCCAAGGCGGCCAAGCAGCCCACTGTCAAGGTGCGTAATGTGCGCGTCGAGGGCGGTCTAGAGGCGTCTGTTGGAGCTCCACCGACAACGGCCAAGCCCAAGCCAAAGGCAGCACCAAAGACAACCACGAGCACAACAACGACAACGACCACGACGCCAAAGCCCCAAACTACGACAACCAGAAAACCCACGACGACGACGACGACCACAACAACAAGAACAACTACGACAACTGCCAAGCCAAAGACCACTACAACCAAACCAGCCACCACAACAACAACAACAACAACAACGCCCAAGCCGGCAACAAAGAAAGAAACAAGTTCCACAACAACAACAACGGCTAGCAGCACACCCAAGCCAGAGACAACAAAGCGCTCAGTGCCAAAGAAACCGGCGCCTGTGGAGGAGCAGATTCCCGTAGACACCAAGCCACCGAAGAAGGAGAAACTCAAGGTGATCAACAAGGAAGGCTCCCATGTGGAGCTCTAAGTGGCAGCAGAGCCTCAACACTTAATTCCCTTTCATTTCCTAGCCGAAAACCCAACAGCAATACGTTGATGTCGTTCGCCCGGAAACACTCAGCCCTCGGGCGATTAATTATTTAGTTTGAAACTAGTTAGTTCAATTACAACTAGCTGCAAGCGTTAACTGAATGAAAACAGAATTAGGGCAGCTATTTATATGTCGCACAACCTGCATATAATTGAGTCTTTGCTATTTTATATTTCGATTCCCATTCCCAATAACGACATTCCCTTTTTGTGTGAATCATTTGCATTCCAGTTAATGAGATGACGGAAATGATAAATTATGCTCACAAATAATTATAAACAATGCTCGAAATTGTTAAGCAATGGAAAAAGACACGATCTAAAATATATATACATATATATTCGTATATATATATATATAGAGGAAATATAAAAATACCATTTCATTTTGTACTGATATTCTCATTTGTGTGTATTTTTTGCACTTATAAAGTAAAATGTTTTTTAAAAACAATACGAGACTTAAATGTTAAATTAAATATAAGAGTTATATTCTATGTATAAATAATGAGAGTGTGCGAGCTAGCGAATGAATTGTGGGCCCATTGCCTAGGACTGTGGACGACTTGGCGGCTCCTTGGGATCCGTCCATCTCCATTCCGTGTAGTGCACACAGCGGCCGAGCTCCTCCGAGTACAGCTGTGACTTGGGGCAGCGTAGGAAGCGAGCACGTGAGCCCTGTTTATCGCACATCCAGTAGGCGGTGGGATCCCAGAAGTTCCGGAACATGCGGTTCACCTCGTCCAGCCCCTGGCAGCCCGGCTCGCCATTGTGCTCGTAGTATTTGTACTTCTGGATGGGCAAGTGAGCAGTGGCCATATTTCTGCGAACAAACATGTGAAACGGAAGTGTTACAATTTTTTCTACTTGTCACGCTGCATATAATGCGTTAAGTATATGCTTTAAATATTTAGATGCCTGGGCGCATTAAATTTAGACACTTTGTGCTTACCTCTTGGGATTCGTATAGTCGCTCAGCTTCCGTTGGCAAACAGATGTTTGGTGTATATAGATATATATTTATTTTTTGCGGATTTCTCTCCTGCCTTGCGAGACGTTTACCGTTTCACAATTATTGCGATTCTGATTTGTCATACCGAAGAATTCCTCATTTAAATACTTTTTCATATGAGCGACAGGCGCGGAGCGGAGCGGGGCCGGAATGTGTTAGTAATGTCTGGCTGGCAGGGGCCGAGCGTCTTGCCGAAGCATCGCGTCGCTTCGCTTCGCGTCCAAACGTTTATCTATAAAGCTAACAAGAACACAAAAACAATTTGCTCGCAATTTCGCTCCTCGCACCCGGCGCGATCATAAACGATCGACGACTGGCGAGGCGGATGGATTGGTCATACGTTCGCTTGGACTGTGTCACGTGTTGCCTCCGTGTTCGGGGAATACGGCAAAGCGAGAGTTTGTGCACTGACATAATATGCGCTGAGTTTGGCGAAACACAAGACTGCGATCCGCTGGAGTATGCTCGACTCGCTGATACCCTGCAGAAACTACTGTGAGCTGCATATGTATGTGGAAATAGCCAAAGTTGAGCTATTGAAATATTTCTTAAATAGTTAAATACTGATATGCATAAATACATAAGCCTACTCGACTGGGTAATACCCTGCAAGTGAGATTAAATAGCTGAAATATATTTCAATTCTTTGTATATTGATATAATATGCACATAATTGGGAACTCAGCTTAGTGATACCCTGTAAAGTATTCAAATATAACGAATGAGCAAAAAATAAAAGTTTGAAATGTTTTTCAATTGCGTAGTCAAAAATTAAATGTAATTCATATATCTTATCTAGAATAATTATCATTGTAAGCTGCTTGAATTGCTGTCTGACAGATAAATTTCTAGTTCACTTTTACTACGTTTTTTAGCTCATGTCTTAAAAGGTAATTTACAAATAGGCATAATTATCACGCAAAGCATTTTCATTGATTTAAAATAACGAAAACGGGTAGTTGTGTATTATTTACTTATAGTTCTGTTACTAGATATGAAATACTAAGATATCTTTATAGATCATCTATATATGTGGTCATACTTTATATGCCATTGTGTATGTCATTGAGTTTTGAACGAATACAGGGTATTATAAATTTTTCCACTTGGCAACGAGCTGTGATACCGCCAGCTTTATAGAAATAGATTTCAGTTCTTTTCCAGTGTCCAAAGGGTATTATGATTGCGTGCGTTTCTTGTTTTGAAACCGAACTTAATGTAAGTCTAACGTCTTACGTAATAAATCGGACGCAGGCCAGACATTTAAGCTAAGTACGTCATCTTAGTGAAACGTCAGCAGCTTAATCTGTTACAGAGATCACGCCCGAAACTTATGCGTCGAGCCCCCTTATTTGATTCCGTCCGGTACTTTTCCCCGCGAGCTGCTTTGACGCAGGCCGCCTTCAATTGAGCAAGTGAATTATCGGTTGAAGCGACTGAGGCGAGTCTACACGTGATCGACAAGTGGGGGTCGCTGCGCCTAAGAATTAAGTCTGCCGATTGTGAAAACACACACACACACACAGCTAGTTACCGTAGATTACAATTTTGTATGGGCTGTTCACGTGGGCAGCAGCTGCTCTAATTTTTTTTCGAGCACACAAGGCGTATGTGTAATAATTGTCTCAGAAGTTATGCATGTAAGTTCACTGATTAGCGTATTCAGGCGAAGCTAGCATATTCTGTTTATTGTTTACTCTCAACAATGTGAGAAGTTTGATTAGAAAAATAAAAACGAAAAAAAAGCTTAAGCTAATTTTTGGGCAAAAAATAAAACGAAATTTTAATTGACTTTTGCGAATTTTGTTTACGTTGCTCGAAGCATCGCTAGACTTATTGACTTGTGTTTCAGTTTGTTTATGCTTGTGCTTTATGTTTCTAAAATCTGGACTCGGACTTGAAATGTACTTTGCACTCGCTAGAAACTCTGGAAACCAAATTCATATTTCTAAAGATATTACAACTTGTACTCAGGCATAAATATTTAAAGAAACGCTCCTGCGTCTGCTTGTCTTTCTGTTGCTGTGCTGAGTGGGCTATATTTAAATATAAGTTTTCGTAGTTGTAGTAAACCGGAACGGACTAGTTTATCACATAGCCAACACGTGAATATTTATTTGAAAATTCAAAACTTGAATGGAAAACTTTTAGCTGCTTGCTAAATATATTAAAGCCAACTAAAATAAATTTAGAGATAACTAAACTAAACTTTTCTTGCTGCAAATTTAACTGAAAATATATTAAGATACAAGCTTAAGGCCCTAGTTACTGCGCTTCATTTTTAATATAGTTTTAATTGTTTACTAATACTATGAACGAATACACTTTATTATGATGGTGTTTAGTTTTGTATTGATTCTTTATTCTGCTGGGCCCGGGTTTTTATACCCRGACTCATGTATAATTTYARCCATTAAATCTADTGCKTCTATTGCTGAGTGTGTAAGGCTCAGCATTGGTCTATTACATATTCTCAACTTATCGCGTAGTTTGTAAGACTCCGCATTGGTTTATTAGCTATTATTATGCTATCGCTGAGTTTGTAATGCTCAGCGCTCGCCTCCTACGTATTCCAATCGCTAAGGGTCGGGGTCATAATTTGTGCCCAGTTTGACAGTTCACACTTGAAACATATGTCATTTATTTTATGCTAGTTGTCGAGTGCATAGCGCGTACGTTCCCCTACTTATCATATTTCTATGTTCATGCATGTGCATGAACATTCTGCGGGGGGCCAAAGTGGGTAACGTCCAGAACNAATAGCAGTAGTAGTAGTATTAATAGTAGTAGTAAGAGAGTATGTAGTAAGGCAAATCATGTAGTAGTAGTAGTAGCAGTAATAGTATTATTAATAGCAGTAGTAGTAGTATTAATAGTATTATCAATAGCAGTAGTAGTAGTATTAATAGTAGTAGTACTAGTAGTATTAATAGCAGTAGTAGTAGTATTAACAGTCGTAGTACTAGTAGTATTAATAGTATTAGTTTTAGTAATAAGAAAAATACTAGTAGAAGTAGTGGAAAAATACTACATAGTAGTAGTAGTTATAGTTAGAAAAATAAGAGTAGTTGTAATAGTAAATAATATTATTAGTTATAGTGCAGATTAACATATATTGGTATTGTTTTAGATGTCGATTTTGAGTACTTAGTCTCTACATTTGGATTTAACATTTAGTACTTAATGCTTATTACCGCAGCTGTATTACAAATAAATATATAAATAAATAAATATATTTAATGAGTCAGCTCGGAAGAAATCGACACAAAAGCTCTCGCTGTCGCTGTCGCTGTCGCTGTCGCTTTCGCTGTCGTTTCGTTGTAGTTGTAGCTGTAGGTGGAGTGGATGACGAGAATGACGAGGTGAACAATGGGTGGTTCAATAATGCTTTATGGCTGCAACAAAAGGGCGACTCCTGCTAAGATCCACTTGGCTGGACGGTCGCGTGTTTTCAGATTGAGCGTCCATACGTAGGTGTTGCCACGCGACCTGCAACAGATTGGATGCAGGCAGATAGATGTAGATGGCTATAGCTGCGGGAACAATGCGCGTCGCCTCGCCCCTCACCTGGTCTTGTACAGCGGACACTCATAGACGCGCTGCAGCTCTTGTTTCTCCTGGACAATGGACTTGATGTAGATGACGGGCATGGCGCAGAGCAGCTCCTTGGGGTGCAGGGCCACAATAGAGTTTAGCTGGCAGTCCCAGCTGGCGCCGTCCAAATAGAGCTCGTGCACAAAGGCGCCCTCTATGGGGGGTAATCTGAAATCAAGTGAGGTTAATAAGGACATGGATGTGCTTTCGACTGTGGCTCATCAGGCTGGTTACGTGACGTCGTCCTTCTGCTTCTTGGTGACGTCGCAGCTGATCAGCATGCGGTCCAGGGGCAGATCATGCTTGCGCGCGCTCTCCTGCATGATGGCCGTGAGGAAGCTCTGGGGATTGAAGAGCCCGCCCAGCCAGATGACGCAGGGCAGCTTGAAGTCGTTCAGCCAGCCGGCCAGCTCCTTGATGCGATGCAGCAGGTCAGCGAACCAGCCCTGCAGGCCCAGCATGCTGGGGTAGGCCAGCTGGGCCCAGGCCGTCGGCACGTGATCATAGAAGATGGCATAGTCCAGCCGTTCCATCTCCTGCGTGATGGTCAGCTCCCCCTTCAGCCCCAGCATCAGCTCACGCAGCGAGCGCTTGATTTCGCGAATGAGCGCATTCATGCGCTCGCACTCCTGCAGGGCGACCACCACAAAGGGCGTCTTGCGCTCCACGCGGTTGAGCAGGGCCTGCAGATTGAACTCGTCCTGCAGCTTGTCGAGGAAGTCGTCGATCATGATCTTGACCAGCTCCTCGCGCCGTGCGCCACAATGCGAGCTCAGCTCTGACTCGCGCGGCTGCAGCTCAAAGATGGTGCGCAGCAGCTGCTCCGAGGCGCTGGTGAGGAATCCGATTTCGGCATTGGGATGCAGGCCATAGAGCAGCGGTGACTCATCGGGCAGCATTTCGGTGATGTAGTCGTGGTAGCCCTCGAATTCCAGATTGGGCGGCGCTGGGAAGCCGGGGCAGAGCTCAAAGTCGCCATCGATGAGATCCTGCTGCAGCAGCTCCTCCAAGAATGTCTGGCAGAGCCGTCTGTCCCAGTCGTCGGTTATGTGGCCGCCGTACATGATCTCGCCGAAAAGGTAACGCAGATCCTCCCACGGAATGCGACTGCTGCCCTCCAGGTAGTTGTGCAGCACGCTGGCCGAGATGGTCAGGTCGCCGATGTTGAAGGGGTACACCTTGTTCCAGCCCTGGGGTCCAAACTTACGCCGCTCGCCGGCCACCGCATGGAAGTAACAGAGGGCAAAGAGTATTGACTTGAACTCCGCCTCCTGGGTGCACGTTTCCAGCGTCTCCTGCGTGAAGTTGTCCCAGGCCTTGTGCAGGTTGGCGGCCATGCCAGCGGGCGGCTCATTCACCACCTTGAGGGAGGACTCCAAAATGCCCTGGGGTATGACATGGTATTGCGGATCTGGAGCTGGCTCGGCGCTAATGAACAAGCGAAAATTCGAATCCCCCTGAGATTCGGACTGCAGCACAATGCGCTCGATTAGCTTCTCTAGGGTGGGCAACCAGTTCACCACCAGATGAATGTTTTGGAGTATCACCCATTGTTGGCCGGTGGCCAGTGCCTGCTCCATGGCTGCCTCGGCCAGCAGCTCCTGCCCCTGGCCCAAGGATATATTCACCAGAGTTCCGGCATCCGCATGGAAGCCCTGCAGCTGCCCATGGCGCTCCACATCGCGTATGGGATCCACGCCCGGCGACAGTATAAAGAAGGCGGGCGTGGCAGCGTTCAGCTCCTTGAAGATGGCCCCAAACGGCGGCGTCTGCACCTCGGCATAGGCTCGCCCCATCGTCTGCTCCACAAACTGGGCCATGGCATAGGTCATGCGGTCGGGCCGCAGGGCTCTGATAATGCACAGCTTCTGCAGTGGGGTGCGATGCTTCCACTCGCCCGGGAACTGTTCCCGCTCGGGCGTATCGCTGGCCACGAATTTGCGCCAGCGCTTGGTGTAGTTCTCCATGTCCTTGTCGATGCCATAGAAGTGCTCGACGAGCGCCAGCGACTTGATGCCGCCCCAGGCACTGCGACCCACAAAGTCCAACGGCGATAGCGTGTTGGGGTCGTGCGGATAGCGCAGCAGAAAGTCGGTCTCATCCTTGGCCACCTGCTCGGCGGCGATCATGATGCGCAGCGTCAGGTGCGAGCTGAACGTCAGCTTGTCCGCCTCGAAGAGGCCGCGCAGCGTATAGCGGTACGTCTGCAGCGTGATCGAGTCGACCAAGTGGAGCACGCGCTTCTCATAGGTCTTGGATGCTGGCGCCACGGCTATGGCCTGCCGGAAGACGTTCATGAACGACTTCAGGGAGAACTTGTATATGGGATTGATGCGATTCAGATCCGTCAGCACAAAGTACAAAATGGCCGCCCGCTTGGCGGCTGCGCGGTAAATGTTTCGGGTCTCGTCGATCTGGAGCGTGGTTAGGTGAGCCTCTCGCACCTTGGACTCGATTTCGTCCACTGTACGTTTGGTGTTCTCCAAGTTGAGCACCAGCGCGTGGTCCTCGAGCACGTTCTCGCCGGCGGAGGCCAGCCTGGCCAGCAGCTCGTCCTCGAGCGCCTTCAGCGAGATTTTAAACATATTTTGCTGAATCGTCACCTCGGTCTTCATCTGCTCCAGATCTGGGCGCTCAATCTTTACCACTTCCGCCAGCAGCTGCTCCTCCAGTCCATCCGGCGTCACCGTGAAGTTAATCAGCGTCGTTTGCGCCTGCATTTCCGGCTTGTAGTGCGGATTGGCGAGCTTCGTGTGCAATATGAGACGGAAATTCGGATTGAACTCCATTTCCCGTTCGCCAATGCGCAGATATCGACCCTTTTTGATTAGCGCGCGGCTCAGCAGGGGCTCGAGTACAGTGTCCATGGACTCCTCAATTTGCTCGATGAGCACTGTGTCGCCGCGCGAGATGGACTTCTCCAGTGCCTCCAGAAAGCCACGCTGCGTCATACGCAGCACCACCAGGGCGGCTCCAAAGCGGCTCTTGATCCACTTGATGCCCTGACTGAACCAAAGTGTTAATGCTCCTCACTTATTAAATATTGATAAGCCCGTAGTCAACTGTCGCCGGGCTCGCTCAATTACGGCGTAAGCCCGAGCTGACGATGATACTCACAGCTGGGGATCAATCATCAGTGGCCAGCGCGTTGAGTGCTGCAGTATTGTTGCATTCTCTGTGGACATGCCGTCCATGGGCAATCCCTCATTATTCCAGGTGGCAATTTGTGCGTCGTCCGACAGCAGCGCCAGTGGGTCGACGCCCTGCGTGTGCGGTATCTGGGGCTATTTCCATGCCAAACATACAGCAAATGCAAACAGCTAAGTAACTGTGCCTCTGAGGTATCAGCTTCAAGTACTCACGTCCATCTTGCAAAAGCTCGGCAGCCACATCTTGTGCTGCAGCTCCTCGCGATAGCGACGCGTAAAGCAGCCCACGTACGACAGGAACGAGGAAATTAGCAATATATCCCCAGGTAGAGTGCCAATCTTTGCCTGCAAGCTTTTCAATAGAATGGTTAAGAATAGATGAAAGCATGAGAACGGAAGCAAGACCGGAAGTCAATGGCAGGTCGAAAATGTAATACACTGAAAGAGAAACTGTAGAGGACTTCAAACTGCCTCATTTATGCCATGAAATATTTCCCATTTGACTGAAGCTTTATGATACTGTCGACTCCTTTGGGCAGAAGTTTTTGAATTGGCAGGAGTTTTTTTTTTATAATGGAGGAGATTCTGAATTGATGCAAAATTTTAGGTAATATTTTGATTGAATTGGATTTATTAAATTGGTTATGGTTAAAAATGGGTAGCTAATATTGTGATAGATTTTTAGGAAGGAGTTTTTCGGAAAGAGTTTTGATATAGTTGAGATATTGCAGTATAACAATTTCATTTCAATATAGAAGTTTTATAATTAATTTAATTTTAATTTTAACTTAACTTTTGAAATTTTAATTCTAAATTTGATTTGGGAATTCAGTTAAACTCTGATAATAAAAT